ATAACATTTTCTTCCTTATCCCCCCCCCCCCCCCCCCCCCCTTTCAATTCCGTTTCTTCCACCGTCGAAATATGATATCCTTTCCCCGATGCCCAACCCGTGAATCAGAGCCGGTCCTGAAAAATTCGAGGCCCTAGACGACTATATATCACGAGGCCCCATCCACTTCGCAAAGTGCAAACGAACACCTAAAACTCCCCCACCCAACCCCCCCTTCACTCTACTCGTACTAAGTGGCATGCTATGTTAGTAAATATGGCATTGGTAAGAGCTCCTAAGTCCTAAGCACGTGAGAATCTATCTGACAAATTGAGAAAATTGATTTGGCAGGGTTTCCCACTTCTCTCTCTCTCTCTCTCTCTAACTTCTTTCTTCTTTTTGTATCTCATACAGACATACAAAATACAAATGCACTCCTATATTGGCTGCAATAATCGGCAATTTTAGAAGCAATGATCTTCTCCTGGCTACAATAATGGTGCTAGCTCCATAGCTACTCGTTATTTGTTAGGGAGAGAATCAACAGAAGGCCCTAAACCTTCCTTCCTTTTTCACCATTCACCATCTTTTCTGCCATTGTTTGGAGACCATCCAAAATTTGAGGCAACCAACTGAGGCCCTAGGCGTTTGCCTTGGTCACTTGGCCTCATGGCCGACTCTGCCGTGAATAATAGCTGAGTTTGTACTGTGGGTGCTCTACTGTGTCAGTCTTCTATTGCATTCGGATTCTCTCCGAGAATCACATCTTGACGGTAAGGTGCCACGTCGACGTTGAAAATTCTTGTTAGCCATTATCTTCGACTTTTTATTATCCATGGATTTATAGTTCCGTCATGTCATATTACCAAATTCTGCTATTTTGATTTTACTTTTTGACCGTCCATAGTGTTGAAATGTCTTCCTTCACCCTATTCTCAAGTACGCTGAGTTTGTTGATGAATTTTCAACATGTAACTTGTGTATGTGGGTTGGTTACCACCCACATGCCGACTCATCTGCACCCATCTAATTCAACACCAGCGGAAGTTGACAGTACTAAAGGTGTTCATATCAACCTGCGAAACAACTATCGCAAAGGGTCACCGTCAGGGTAAGAGCTTCACCAAATACGGGTGAGAGTGATATTCTCGTTCAACACTATATTCGGTTACAACTGGAGTAAGCAACACCTGAGAAACAAATGGGACTCCATGGGGCGGGACCACCAATGTGTTCAATATTGTTTAGGTTAAGCTTTACCTTTACCTAAATAGCATATCAAGCCCTTGTTTGGTCCCCAATATTTTTAACACATTTTTTTATCTCTCTTATTTTTAACCACACATTTTTCAATAAAATAATATTACATGCAAATTCAAAAAATTTCCTTATTTTTTATTTTCACATTTTCCATCAAAATACTATTTCAAAATATATTTTGGACAAAAAATGAGACTCAAACAGGCTACAAGTAAAAGACTTGAGGGCTCAATAATCTTTCAGATATATTAAAAACCACCTAATATATGAGGCAACTCTAATCATTCAATGCAAGATATTTTTGATTGCTCATGACCTACTAACAAGCTTAAATGAGATCATTCATTAGACTCGGTTATGTCAATCAGTCAAGATATTATCGAATGTCTAAGAAAACTTGACTCATCGACTACACTTAAAATTCAAATGTCTAACCAAACTTTCATGAAACTATGCCTCCGTTTGGTTCCCATTTTTTTTTTTTTTTAAAAATGGGTGGAATAATGTTCTTTTGAAAAATGAAATGAGATTCAAACAGGGACTATAATTTCGCCTGTTTAGGAGACAACAAGGCCCCTTTCTTTTTGGATTTCACGAGACATTATCGCGTATGTATATCTATTAAATTTTTTTGTGAATTGTCTCTTTAGTGGGTTGGTTACCACCCACATGCCGACTCATCTGCACCCATCTAATTCAACACCAGCGGAAGTTGACAGTACTAAAGGTGTTCATATCAACCTGCGAAACAACTATCGCAAAGGGTCACCGTCAGGGTAAGAGCTTCACCAAATACGGGTGAGAGTGATATTCTCGTTCAACACTATATTCGGTTACAACTGGAGTAAGCAACACCTGAGAAACAAATGGGACTCCATGGGGCGGGACCACCAATGTGTTCAATATTGTTTAGGTTAAGCTTTACCTTTACCTAAATAGCATATCAAGCCCTTGTTTGGTCCCCAATATTTTTAACACATTTTTTTATCTCTCTTATTTTTAACCACACATTTTTCAATAAAATAATATTACATGCAAATTCAAAAAATTTCCTTATTTTTTATTTTCACATTTTCCATCAAAATACTATTTCAAAATATATTTTGGACAAAAAATGAGACTCAAACAGGCTACAAGTAAAAGACTTGAGGGCTCAATAATCTTTCAGATATATTAAAAACCACCTAATATATGAGGCAACTCTAATCATTCAATGCAAGATATTTTTGATTGCTCATGACCTACTAACAAGCTTAAATGAGATCATTCATTAGACTCGGTTATGTCAATCAGTCAAGATATTATCGAATGTCTAAGAAAACTTGACTCATCGACTACACTTAAAATTCAAATGTCTAACCAAACTTTCATGAAACTATGCCTCCGTTTGGTTCCCATTTTTTTTTTTTTTTAAAAATGGGTGGAATAATGTTCTTTTGAAAAATGAAATAAGATTCAAACAGGGACTATAATTTCGCCTGTTTAGGAGACAACAAGGCCCCTTTCTTTTTGGATTTCACGAGACATTATCGCGTATGTATATCTATTAAATTTTTTTGTGAATTGTCTCTTTACTTGCGTTTACTAACTTATAGTCCAAACAGAAGTTTTAAATGTTCTTGTTCAATTGAGTTGTTAACTAATAATGTCTCAAATGTAGACAGAAATTCCAAAACTCTTTGTCAATCAACGAAGTTTATTCGCCTTGAGCCATCGTGTGTGCGACTCTAATAATTAAATGCAAGATATTTTTGATCGCCGATGACCTACTGACAAGCTTAAATGAGACCATTCATTAGACTCGATTACGTCAACAAGTCAAGATATTATCGAGTGTCAAAGAAAACTTGACTTATAGTCCAAACAGAAGTTTTAAATGTTTTTGTTCAATTGAGTTTTTAACTAATGATGTCTCAAAACATAGATGGAAATTCCAAAACTCTTTGTAAATCAATGAAGTTTGTTTGAGTTGAGCCATCATGTGTGAGCTTTTTAATCCGTTGACAAACATGATACCATGTTGGCATAAAGTTACATGAATTCTCTCGAAAGGACTATTCGTGTTTGACTAATTTACATTTTTTTGTATTTTTAATGAAATAATTTACTTATATTAAAATTAATTTTTTATGCTCGGCAATTATTAGCGTTAATTTTGTCAAATTCCGTATTTATTAAAAATTTAGTTTTAAACATTTTGTCAAATCATAGTACAAGTATCCTATGCAATTTTCTTCCAGGAAAGCAAATAAATTAGTCAAAAACAATTCAAGATCGAATTGGCCATAATTAAAAAAAAAAAAAAGAAAAGAAAAAAGGTTGAACTCCAACCTTGAGGGCCCCCACTTCCCCACTCCTGGAGTTTTGTGAGAAAAGTAAATCGCGAGATATGTTCCAACAGGTCAGGGAACAAGAGCTGCATATGCACTGCACCTATAAGGAGTCAAATTTCATGTCTCAAAAATCGAACCCCCACATTACGACTGTCAGCAAGGCATGAGATAATATCACTTCCGTCTTTTACATCATTAGACTATGTCCCTGGGGCTTGAATTGGCCATAATTGCCCATACGGCTGTTTGACTCCTTACTTTTTTTTTTATTCTTGTTGGAATGTAGGATGTGATTCATGTGAACGAGGTTATCAACTTGTGAACTGGTCTATATAGCTCCTTGATAACCATTAAACCAAAACTCTCTTCTTATTTTTTCTAAATTTAATTTTAATCACATATTTTCACAATAAATTATTTTGC